TGTTCTGTTTTTCTAGAAAATAACATGACATTACATTTATTCCAGGAAAAATACTACAGTACATTGATCTACTAAAAAAAACTTTATCTGAAACAAATGATGTTAATATTACAGGATTGGTTAGAAATGTATAAAAAATTCCCCACTCTCGTTTCATTATATTGAGATCTTCCATAAGATTTGCTCATACTTAATTTCTGAAACACAGACATACCTCATTTGCTTGAAACTAACTGTATAATTAAGTCAATGTAAAAGTTATTAACGTGATGCCAGTATTATTTTGACTTCTATTATTTCACAAGTCACATAATTTCTTTGTCCATAAATCTATTAATAGTGTCATATTTTGACTCATGGCCAGCACTGTTCCGTTCCTGGAATCTAAAAGAGCTAACAATTTTGGATGGGGATCCAAAGAATAAAACCAAGGCTAATTACCTTGTAAATAAAACTGTAACATTAATATTATCCAAATTCTATTTTTTTTAATTGAAGGAGATGAAATCAGTTGAGTCCATTTGCTATGGAAATTTAGGTGTTGTTTAAATGTTTAAGCACATAGTTTAAACGTTGAACGCCCCATGCTGTTGAATAGTTGGCAAAAAAAGAATTTGGTTTTTTTCCTCTCCATTTTCACATGTTCTTTGACAGAAGAGAAGAGAAGCAATCCTCACCACTGACAGCTGCTTTTTGTACCACTTGTCTCTCTGTGACCTGTTGGGTTCACTCTGTGTCCCCCAACAGCTGGAGACTTGACTTCTGCCCCGATACACACACACACTTTATAGGGAGCACTGCATCTACTGTCTTAAATAAATAATTTGGAATAGGCCATGAATTCTGGGACTTGGTGTAAAAGTCAAGCAGTTGCTTCAGATGTCCTTTCAGACTCACCAGAAAAAATATAGCAGATTAACCTTTGTTCCCCATTTTCGCTTCTTCAGGCTATAGACAAAGTGAACTCCATCCCAACCATTGGGACCATTATCCCAGATGTCGTATTTGACTCCTCTTCATTTCTAGTCTAACACATAGATACTATTTAGAAATTCTGCTGCTACTGCTTCTTTAGTTTCTACTGAATGCTCTTTCCAGCCTCCATAGCCAAATGTCTTTTTAGAACTTATACCATATTATCTTCTCTGATCTCCTATACACACATACTTGATATTTCTTCACATCTTACAAATGGCTGCTCCTAAATTCTACTTTGTTGCCCACTGTTTTGATCCTTTTATCCCCAGCTGAATCCCTCCAAAAGTTTCTGTATCATACCATATCAAACATAGGCTTTTAATTATTATTTTCAAAACCCACTCTCCAGATTATTCTCCCTTCCAAAATTCATCCTGCCTCTCATGCTTCATTTATTCCACCAATGCTCTGAAGATTCTAGATAACACACACAAAAAAAAAAACCCAAACACACAGCTTCCTACATAAAGTAAAGTATCCTAGACCTGCCCTTCGAGCACCCTATGCTGTTGACATTTAAGTCTTTTTTGGAGAGTCACTTCTACAATGATGTGAACTTCTCTAGTAAGCCAGGCAGATGTGTAAACATGCAGTTCATGTGCATTTCATTTCACCTCTGCCCTGCCTACTTTAGATGTTGAATTCCTCTGAGTGCGACCCTCTTCTCATATAGCCTTGAAATGGGTCGCAATGGGCAGTTTAGTAAAGAACACTGCTGCTAATAAGACTGAGCTACACCTCCCCCTAACTGGCGCTACAGTAGCTATGAGCTATGAGCTTTCCTCATCTGAAGGTAACTTTTACATTGTTAAATGTGGTATTCCAAGGACGGCATTCACTGGGAAAAGACAATGTAATTGATAATGTTGCTAGGTGCTGGCTCCAGAAGCTCAGTTTGAGCCTTTATTCTTTACTTTCTCATCATACTCATTTTCCTCACAAGGGCAGGCACAGAGCCCGATTGATGTTAGCAACAGCAATGTTCAGCGTATTGAGCCACCTTGATGACTTAAGAGCTATTATGGAGTCTAACGCTGCATAGAGGCCAGGTTATACAGCATACTTTTAAATTAAGTCAGAAAGATTGATGTGTTTATTGACCTATTGAAGCTTGAAACTTTGGTCAAATTTTCTTTGATCTTGGTATTATTGTTAAAACATTGAGCAGAAGAATTATTTGATCTATGTGACTGTACCTCTAAACCAAATTAACTCCATTACAGCACTACTATGATTATTAATAATGTTATCTTTTCAGTAATAGTGCAATTTAAGCTTCATTTAAAATTATGCCTTAGGAGTTCAAGGGGAGCAGCAAAGCCAATAAGGATCACATTAAGCCTCTTGTTTCAATGTGTGAGAAGCGTCATTTAAATTTTTCAAGCCAAGTCTTGGCATTAGCTTGGGGGAACTTGGCGCTGCTCAAAGGAACAGCCTTCTGTCAATGTCAAGAACAATCCTACAGAGTAAAAACAGTGAACACAGAAGGCTGCACTGAACCTCTGAGTTAGAAACAAACAGTGAGCAAAGATTAACATTTATCTGAGCTTTCCATTTGTTTCCCCCATTGCAGACATATTAACATGTCTGCCATGACTTCATGTTGCTATGTACTTTAGCAATGGAACAGAATAGTAACAGGGAAAAAAAAAGGAAATCCAAGTATTTTTTAAATTGAACTCATGTCTCTGTAGAGAAATTAAAGTATCTTTTTTTTGGTATAAATCTTGGAAAATCTCAGCTGCACTAGTCACAGTCAGGCTGTATGTTAACTGTTCAAAAGGTTTTGTTAATTCCATATGAAATATTTCCTCATCTCCTAATTTTGAAGTTTAAAGTACAATTTAGGTGACTGTTATAGCTTTGACTGTAGGAGGAAAGCAGAACATATAAGATGTCAGTACATTTTAAACAGGAAGAAGTAAGTTCTTGTACATTCATCTATGACATGGATGTTTGTGAAAAGTACTGAATTAGAGAATAAACCTCTTCTTTTCTCCAGAGGGCACTGGGAACACAGTGTAACTGTCTGAGCATCCCCACATAGCCTCAGCAACCCTGATTTGAATGAGTGCTTCAACTAAGAAAGCAGATGGTCATTTCTCCATAGTCTACTCCCTGCTGGTGCTAGTGCTAAATGATGCAGGTTTTTACTGCAGTTCTGTGGTATGGAAATGCAAATACTAAACTTTATTGCCAAACACATCTTCTTGTAAAAGTAACTCTGCTACTGAAGGTTAGTTCCTTCTGTTGTTTAAAAAATCAATGGTTATACCACTTTGTGCTTTTGAAGTAGCTAAGGTAGGGGGGTTATCATCTAGCTTTTGTGAGGCTGTTCCAAAATATTCCCAAATATTTTAAATGATCACCACTATAAAAAAAATAATTTGACACTATCCTTTATCCTTTAAATGTGAAAAACGTAAAGAAAATTGAATAAGTAGTAATGTGATAGTGACAATTTGTACCCCATCATCATAAAATGGGAGCTCCCAAGCAGAATTCTATGAAACACTAGTTGCCCACAGAGTACTTGCAGCTAATTCTTGGAAGGCTGGCTAGTCATACACTGCTGGCTTTAATCCTTGTTTCCAGCTGTTACATCACATGAAAGACAACTAAAAATACATTAAATACTTCTCCATACAAGCAAGTTAAAAACTGCTGCAATAATGTTAGGCACTGAAAGTAGAAGTGTTGTGTGCAAAGTTATGAACAGAAGCAAGGAAAAAAAAAGATTACAATCTCTCTGCTAAAGTGTGGTCTGTGATACAGCAAGAGAAAACCTTGACTTTTAAGGCTCAATTTCAGTATTTCAGCACGTTTTGTATATTCTAAAGTATATCAGATGTTCAAGGTCCCAATCACAAATCTAATCAATGTTTTCTGTTACAGTTTGCCCTACGCTTAGGTACCTCACTCAAAGCAAAACCCATGTGCCAAGGAAATAATGTACTGACTGCTACGTCAGGTGTTCAGAATAGACAGTAATAGATGCTTCCCAGATATTAAATGGTCTATGTGGAAATTTAATAGATTAAAGGTGCTTCCTTATAAGGCTGGACGGTGTAACTTATTGGAAAGACAAATTAATAAAATGTGCAAACACAAATTAATGAAATGTGCAAACTGTGAGCTTCGAGTGAGCTGCAGTGGAGGAGAAGAATTATAATTGATTACAACTGCACAACATCTAAGTGGCAAACAATATGTTGCCCTGATTGGGAAAAGGTCCAGAAGGATGGCCAAAGCAAAGTATTCTAAATGTTTAGTAATAGAAATTAAGTTATCTTCTTACGAACCATTCTGTTAAGCAATCCTTGAAAAAGATCCCATATCACCATGAGAAATGCATGACAGAATCAGGACAGAGAACAGTAAACATTAGGTCCCTGGCAGCCTATAATGGAGGTGGAAGGGGCAAAGAAATACAACAGAGCATCTCACCAAAGCATGGGTTATGCATAGCCAATGATAGCCTCTACTCTGCAATCCAGAGACGGAAATGGGAAAGCTCTTGCTATGAGCCAAACACAGTACACAATGCATATGACACCTTGTCTCAGTAATATATCAAGCCAGAAGCAGGTGAGAAAATAAGTCAAACTAAAAATGAGCAAATACTATAGACAAGATAAATGCTACTTCACTTAATCAAGTGTCATTACTATTTTCAAACAGGTCTGAAAATGGAATAATCCTGATAGGTGTCTTTGCAAACAGAAATGCCTGAATCTGTCCAGTACTCTTCAGTTTCTGGAGTTGTTTGCCTGCCTACTGACAACAGTAAACTTATATCAGACTTGCATGATACTGAAGATTCATCTCAGGCTTTCTTCATATTTCTAATTTTTATTTAAACCGTGGTCTCAGTGTGGCTACACGTTTTGGTTTTTTTTTTTGTAGCCTTATTGTTCCCTCAATTGGGAGACTCCTACACTTCTGATAAAAGCAATTCTTACAAAGAACTCAGCTTGCAAAACGTATTGTGCTGTGGGGCAGTAGTATCAAGGATGCCTCACCTTAGACCAGTCTCCCATTCTCCAGACGTAGCATTTGGAATAGTCCTCACAGTCCTCTGCTTCTTTAGGTCTTGTGGACAAAACACATTTCTTGCGCGGATTGGTGCATCTCACAGTCCGATGCCGTACTCCCTTACCACACTTTACAGAGCACTGTTGGAAAAAGATGTTTTTCAGGTTTCTACAAAAGTCATAGCTACCCCATGTTATCCACTTCTAATGACCTCTGCCAGGCTAACATAAATATTTCAAGACTTCAGTGATTTCCTGACTTCCAATCTTTAATTTTATAGACACTGGATTTGTTAAAAACTAACAAATGAACAAAAATTCCTTACAGGGCAGAATAGTAATTGTTGCATTTTCAGCTAAAAATATATAATTAGATCAAAAATTGTTTGCTTAAGGAAAAACTAGGCTTTTGGATAAGGAAACAACATCTGAAAAGTTATGATAAAGTGAATGCAAAATGTTATACTGAAAATATTAGGCAATCTTTGTCCTGCGAATGAAAGGAAATATAATGAAAGAAAATCTAAATAAGGTTCATAAGAATGAACAGAAACTTCAGAAAAATTCTACTAGTGTCTAATAGACCTTTTCTGGGAGGGAGAAAAGTTAAAATGGAAAAGTAAATATTCTAAAACTATGCAAGAATCCAGACTGAATTTGAAAATTCAAAGTGACTGCATATACAGCATGTGAAAACTCTCTTTGAGTTGCACAGAAGGTCTTAATCTATGTTTTTTTCCACCATTCCCACTTATATTGCCAAAAATGATGCCATTTCCTTCTCAAAACATTATCATTGCTTTTGATCATCCCCCTGCTTGCAGGTCAAAACTCTCCCTTGCCAAGCCGATTATAACTGCAGGAAGCAGTAATGGCTAGCTTCCAATATAATGGTGATAGTAGGAATGGCCATGGGAAACACCTCACTCTTGAAAATATATTTATTGCTTCCAACAAAAACATGCTTACTTATTTCTCGTCTCTCAAGTAAAACAAACCAACTAAACAATCTGGGTTTCTTTCTCGCACCTCTGTAAGTGAATGCCATTCTTCTCACAGCCAGCCCTTGCATTATAAACCTCTGTGTATCAAACCAGCAACTGCTGCTATTTACTTCTCTTATCTCTACCTTAGCATCTGCTTTTCATCTTTGAAAACATTCCCTATGTCTTGGCTCTTTCTTCCTTGGGGATCAAGGGGTGCTGCTGAGCAAAGGAGCTCAAAGAAGGGACTGCACCCACATTCAGAAGCTGATCTTTGTATTCTGAATCCAGAGGGACCCATAGCACAGTGTCTGGTATGGGAGGCAATCAGAATTGCCTTGCTTTCCGACGGAGAGAGAGATGCTCCAAATAACCCCTTCAGCTTGTCTGGATGGCAGTGATAAAACCCCCTTCTTCCACCACAGTCAATTACTTTTAGAAGTAGTATAGCTTTTTAGTATAAGAAAGTCAAATGGACATGCACGTTAAAATATCTTAAATTAATAAAGCTTTTTGAATAATAATGACATCTACAGCAATGCTTCAAGATGCAACATATGCAAAATTGTGTTATTTACAAGCCCTTTCGCCCACTGCTTATGCTGTTCTTGGAGAAGGAAGTAAGAAGAGAGAGGAAGGGAAGGAAATGTCAAGCAGCTCCCCTCATACCCTCTCTGAAGAAGAATGGCAGCAACCATCTGCTGATCAACATCCTTGGTACAGAAGTATGTCAGAGATGTTCCCATTCTGAACCCAAGGTCTGGTAGCTGATAAATGATGGCCTTAATTCCATTTACCCCTAGTTATCCACTACTACAGTCAGGACATACTTGATTATATGTGCTTGAAAATTGGCCAAAAGAAACTGTTCCAGGACATTAACTAGGTAAAATGTAGTAGTTCTACACGGCTGGTTTTCCTAGTCCCTGATCCCTTTGCCAAATCATTGGATGAGGACCGTGAAAATCATTAGGCTGAGCTGTGCCACTTGCTGCTGAAAAAATCGTATTCCCAGAAAATAGTAAGGCTTAAATAATCACTATGGACTATTTGTATAAATAAATGCAGCACCTCGGACCACACTCCTGCCTCCCACACGGTCATGCAGTCCTGGCCTTCACAGCGCTGTGCAGAAGCGGGCTTTGGCCCAAGGCAATCCCTCTCCCTAGCTCTGATCAGGGTCCCATTTCTGAGCTGCTGTGTGCAGGCGACTTGTCTGTTCTGGGTCCCTTTTCCACACGTCCTTGAACATGGAGTCCATTCTGTCATCATCCATCTACAAAGAGATACAGGCAATGCAGTAACAAGAAATCAGGAAGGGAAAAGTACCATCACATCATCTTACTCTCTTGCTTACCAGTACACACACCCAAGACATACTTGCATATTTTCTGCCTCCTTTTAACTTTACTTTGTTAATGGGCTACTTATTAATCTAACATATTTTACATTAAATAAGGTGTTAATGTTCGTATCATTTCATTCCCAGCACACTGTTCCTATGTTTTCAGAGTACTGTCCTCTCATTATAGTTCCAATTAGAAAAGCTCCAACATACACACATTTGAAAGATGACAGATCACTGATCAGCCTGCCTATTATTCTCTATCTATATGACTGTCTATATGTCAAGTGCATGCCATGCATGTAAAGTCCAGAATTCTTTGAAAATACTTATTTGCAAGACAGAATCACTCCTGTGTGAAAGGCTCGTTGCTCTGGAGGAAGTATAAAAGCTTAGACTTCTTTGTGTTCTTCAGGGTCAGGTCTAACTCGTAACCAGGTTGTGTGGTTTAACTCCCAGCAGCAAGGAAGGCTGATGCAGCTTGGCAGAGCCCACATACCTGGTGAGCAATCGTTCTAGACCATAATTTTCCCTAAATGTTCTGTAGCTCCAGACTATGGCCATGTGCCCTGAAACATCAAACAGCTCTGCCATTGATACGGTACACAAGTGTATCCCAGGAAACTTAGATTGCAAAGAAGAGTTTTTAGGAAACTGAGATTTAACAAATCTGTTCCAACCTTCTGTAATGCATTTGTTGTAAGAAAATAAAGCATTTAACTAAGGTTTTTTATTATCAGTCCAGAGACTCAATTTACAAATCACGATAATGCAACAGAGTTTAAGATACTTATTCAAGTGCCAATAACAAACAACTAGTTATGCAAGTGTATGCTTTAGTTACATTTCTGTTGAAAGCTAACAATATTTGTTTTGTAAGAGTCACTAACACCGAATTAAAAACTGGATATATAGGTTAAGGATCATGATATCCTTCTACATCTCTCAGCACAGCATCTCTGAGTAGCAATTAGCAACATTTAAAATATTTCATTTAATAAGCTGGAAAAAGTACAGAATATTGAATATATATAGTTGACAATGCCTCAGGAAAAGATCAGACTCTTCAATTTCCATCCATTAAGTGTACAGTGATGTTAATAAAATAAAATAAAGATCTGCTCAAGTATGTATATAATGAAATACAAATAACCCCTCCAAAGTGTAATGCCCTAGTCTGAGGAAGTCCAAACCTCAGTGGTTTGGTCTTACTTAAAATGTACCATAACTTGCATTTTATCAGTTTCAGTATTTCATCCTTTCCAAGAAAGCTATGTCTTCTGGTTCATTTTACATGCTTTGTTCAACAATATTTGCACTTTATTTACTTTGCATTGTTTTCTTTAAAAATACCATCTACCTCTCCTCCAGATGACTGCGGTAGATCTATCCCAGTGCTTACTGCTGGGTACGCTAGCCAACTATTGCTAGCTGCTCTCCCCTCCCTTGAAAGGTGGCCGATACTTTACGCAAGTCCACACAGTACCCGGGGACTTAGTCATAATTAGCTGCCATTTGGATGCAGGATGGCAAACTCTGACATGGGTCACTGTGCCAGCCTGGACAGCCAGTGCAAAGAGCAGGCTGCCAGCTCGGCTGCAGGGACACCAAATAGGGTGGGCTTTGCAGGGCAAAAGCTGCATGCTGCAGCTGCCTCCCGGGGTGAAATGCAGAGAAAAAAAGCTCCTCTTGCTTCTTCCACCATGCCACCATAAGAGTCCAGTTCTGCCTACTGCTCCACATACAAAGGGATGGGGGAGAGGGGGGAGAGGAGCGAGGGGAAGGCTCTTTATACTTCAAGTTGCACCAATGTAGAAAACCCAGTTAACAGATTTTATTTATTTGTTTGTTTGTTTGTTTGTTTGTTTATTTACTACTTAGTGCACCATGAGCCTACTGAAAGCTTTTACAGGACCAAAGCCCCGACTGAACAAAACACTAAAATATATCATTAATTAAAAGCATGGGATTAAATCCACCTTTATATAAATGGCATTTAAATTTCTATTTCATAGTACACATCAGTCTGTGAGAACTCTTCCTGAGGAAAGTAATGAGCTGCTTTATTGAATAAGAATTGATTTAGGCATGTGCTTAAGGGCTCCCTTTCATTAAAACTCAGGACAAACAACAGCCAGTGTTTCCGTTTTCCTTACATTTTGCATTATAACCTTTTGGATGTGTGTATTTACTGCACATTCATTGCCAGAGGCAGTCATCTCTCTTAGCTCTTAAGATTTTTACATCTCGATATTACAGTTTAACTTAACCAAATCACTATTACCTGGTCTGGCATGGCTGCTCGTTGCACTTGCGGATCTGTGGTTCAGGTTTTGTTAAATATTTGCACTTCTTGTTGTCCACAAGACTGATATTCTTGTTCATAATCTTTGTGCAAGAGACTGTTGTCTTTCTTTCACCTAGTAAAAAAAAAGCAGGTATGTGGGGAAACCGGGAATATGCAACTTTGTTAAAAAAGGAAGGACAAATGTATCTTTACCAGATACAGCTATTTCATGTACAGTTTGGCTAATAGCACTGCAAAACCTGTACAAGTGTAAAATATCAAGAAGAAAATCAAAGCTAGCAGGGAGTCCAAGACAGATATTAAAGTTTATAGTGAGCAATGTGATTTTCTAATCCAATACTTGCACACCACTGTCAACAGAGTTCTGCTGCTTTATTCCTGTAACTAGTCATAGGCCTAAACCTTAATCTTACTGGAATAATTGTTTCTTTCTCAACCATTGAGATCCCAGCGCTGAGAAAAGCTTGCAGAAAGATTACATAGAAAGTATGTTTGTTCATTAACACATAAAATAAAGAAAGGAATGACAGGTCCTGCTTCTCCGTATTGCTCGAGCTTCGTAGTTCTGCCAAGTGGCTAGCACTCAGCTAAAGGGAATCAGCACATGCAACCTTCAGTAAGGAGCCTGCACTATTCCCCATGAACTGAAGAGGCTACATAACTGACCTCATCTGTAGGGTAATCATTTAGGAAGTTGGGTACTGCCTGCAGAGACCTAGTGCATGTTCTGTTCAGAAACCTTGCCCTGATGGGTGGGTTGGAACCTGGTGTCTCTTGAAGCTGAAAGCGTTAGAAATCAGAATTTAACATAATACCTACCGCAAGCAGTAACTTGTAATTTGACTGGAGCCTAATTATTAGAAAACTAGCAATCCTTGAATTAAAGACATCAATTAGTAGAAAATACGTTCATAACCATTTGTGCCTATGGTGGTGTTTTAACACCCTGTTTCTATCTAGAAATTTACCAACAAACAGGGTGTGGGCAGGAGCGGGGCAGACTTAAGCGTGCAGTGTTCACCAGCCGTCAGAAATGTGCCTGCGGATGGAGCAGTTAAGTTATAAATGCGCATTATGTGTGTGACATTTTACACGGCGCTTGTGTACAGGAGAGCACATGCAACTAATCTATCGTATACAGCATTTGAAATGTTTGACAATTCTTTCTGCATTTACATATACATCAGTGTATTCATATTCCCTCCCACACAAAGAAAGCTTTTCTGCAACAGGAGGTCGCAGACCAGTTACATATCTAAACATGCACAAAACCACATGGTTTCATCAATAGTTTCATCCTGACATACACTTCAAACATTTAAGCAAAACTACCGATAATTGTTATATTTTTTAATCAGATTCATCAAAATATTGATGTTAAAACACAAATATTTACACAGGGTACAAGCTGCAGCATTTTAATTTCATTTTTGCTTCATATTTAAGCCAAGAACTAAAAGAACAGTTAAAATGGTTTTGTCTAAAGTAAGAAAAATCCTTCACTTGTATTTCAGAATATTTGCAGTAAAAATAGCTTCTATGGAACTTTGTATTAACTCAACTATTTTAGACAATAACAAAAAATGAAGGCCAGTTACAACAGAAAAATATGATAAATAAACATTATAGTAAAACACTTAAAATATTTGTTTAAGCATTAATGTAGAATAAATTACCGACGTACTGCATTTTAAGACTTCTCCAGATGATAGGTAACCTTAGAAATATTTGGGGCAATAATAAGAGATTGTGGTAGCATTAAAATTATTCTAAAAATACTTCAGGAAACTGTAAAAAGCATGAATACTCCAAGTGAATAGGAATGCACTACTAAGAAACAGAGGATGCTACTAGCACCATGTACAAAATACCTTCAGGGAAGAAGCTTTCTTACCAAACCACAAAAAGCATGTTTATGGAAACTACAGTAATCTGTCATGACACCAGGACTGTTCACAGAGTCAAAGGAGCTAGAACACTGTGTTCCTTATGCTGCTGTTATGAGAAAGTAAAGCATTTCCAGGCCTTCTTATTCAATCACAAGGTGCACAGCAGTTTTCAGAACTGCTGATCAAAGCAACCGTGACTGTCAAGGTTGTAAGCAGGAAAGACAGGTATCAAAAATCCTGTATTCCCAGTGTAGGTCTGACTAATTGCACAAGGTATGAACAGATGTCTATAGGTTGTATTCATTAAAAAAACTCTGAAGCGTTTCTTCAGTGTAATTACCTATTTGAATAACCAGCTTCTAAACAGCAATTTCAAAGGATTTTGTTACAGCAATACTGTTCATGTTCCAATATTTGTTTTCATATCTGTATTTTGTTCTTCCAAATTAACATTTTTTATGGTTTATAAACATAAACATAGGAAAAATATCACATCAGCATGCTAATATCTGCTGTTGTAATATTTGTTCCATATGTTTCAGGATCATCCTCAACTCATGTTACTAACTGTACATATTTGATCTGAGATTGGGGTTCAGCTTTTCTGTAGTTTGCAATGTCTTTTACAGATCATTTATCTTCAATAGTTCCAAATACAGAATGGAATGCATATGAACTTTCTATTCTTGTTCTAGCTCTTGCACTTGTACTTCTTCTTGGAAACTGTGTCCTGAATTTGCTTTGTTAATCTAGATTTTGTTCCTTCACTACTTCACTATCTTTTTCTACTTAATTTAATTAGTTTGAATCTTTTCCTAGAGTTATCACTATTCTTTTAATATAATGAGGAAGCACGAGACTGAAGTATGTCCGTCATTATATGGAATCATACAAGCCGCAATGAGGATATTCCTATTAAATCTACAACACAGACTATCAGACTCTTAAATATTAATACACGATGTGTTTTAATTGAGAGAGATATATACAGACACAGTGTACATACATATATATGCATATTGTATACACCCATATATGTGTATTGTGTAGGTACACAATATTTTAATATATACATGTATGTGTATGTTTGTACATTTTTCTTTTATTTTACCTCCTCCACATACAGCATCACAGTCCTCCCAGCCAGAGTGAGTCCACATGAAAAGAGGCTCTGGTACTTTAGAGCTCTGATTCTCAGGAAGAGGATCCAGTGGGATTGTGTATTCATAGTGTAGACCGTAGCTCTGATCATGGAAAAGCAGCACCTGCAAGATACAGAGAAGGAAATCTTACCTATGTACACAGGCACTGTGGAAGACAAACTCCAAACTGTGAGGAGATCATCTTGAAAAGCACGACAGAATGACTTAATGCTCTATAACCATTCAACCCTCCTGATGGATTTTGTAGAAGAAATTAATGACAGTATCCAAATCAATGGGAAAAATTATTTTAATTAACATAAGTGTTGAAAAGCCCTCCATGTGAAATAAGCAAACAAAATTCACCAGAAATCTGAAGGATGATTGTGTCTTGTGATTTCAGTGCTCTTAAATAGAGGCGGTCTTTCCTAGATGCATCAGATTTAAAACTATTCTAGCCAATTTCTTGCATTTGAAGTACTCCCTCATCATCTTTCTTTCTTTCTGGTGGCTA